TTTCTTTCTTCTCGTACTTTATATTTCTTTTGACTGAGTTTTCTTATCCTTACCTTCCACTTTACTGCGTTTTTACTTGATGTAGTGCTATGAACTGTGGCAACTCGGACCGTTACGCAGTAGTGCCTGGTTCGATGTTGATATTGATGATGATGATGATGTACTGCACTTAATTCTTTCTCTCCTGTCCTGGTGGGCTTGTCAATGAACTTTTATAGGTGATCATTTCCACATAGGCGATTTTTGCCAAAGGTCAGTTCTTCCTCAATATTTTCTCCAGAGCACAGTTTATGCGTACGGTTGAAAAGTGTTCTTACTAGACATTTTTTGGACTGATTGGGCAAAAGCTGTGGAAGTTTAAATCAATTTCACTCCGTGTTTTTCCGATAAATGTATCCATGAGTCTTTCCATTTGTATGACGCTGTAGGCCAAGTTATAGGAAGTGATATTCGTTGTCATGTTCAGTTTCCATCGTGAATGTTATATTGAAGTGCGATTCAATAAAAATACTCAATAAATGAAAGGCATGTTGACCATTATTGCACACAATAAATGTATTGTAAGACTGAGAATGGCCAGTTTTATACGGAAGGGTTCTAAATGTTTTGCCAGCCACTGGGAAAGCTTGTAAAACGGTGAGTTGACTATGAATAGTATTGGTCTCATCGGGACATTAGCTTTATGCACTTTCAGCAGGTCATACAAATATGGTAACCGAGATCTACGAGGTTTAAGGTCATTGTAGGTTAGTATGTCTATTAACTTCCTCTTGGAAAGTTGTTGCAACTCTCTTGTCTTTCTGCTGACTCATTCATGTCTCGATGAATCATCGTGGATTGACGTTATCTTGTCCACGTATGTCTCAATTCGTCAGAATTTTTGTTGATTTTTATAAGTACGTTATATAGCATATTGTTCATCATGAACATTATGTTCCATAAGTTGTAAAGCAGTGAGGAGAATCTATGAAATACATGCATGGTAATTCTGATACTATTGTTCTTCTTGCTTTATTTATATTTTTGTCTATTTGGCATATGTAGACCCCTGAATGGGTCTTCGAGGTTAAGGAACTTGGTGACTTGAGAAAATGATCAACTGTCTGATGTTCCGTAAATTTTCTTGTTATTCTTGGAACTGCAACAGCAGATAATTATGGTATTTTATGAACTAAACACTGTCCATATCGTATCAATGAGAAGTTATGGTTCAATAGTATAACCTTTTTCGCTTTCCTCATTCTAGGATGTGAAATCTATTATAAACTTACCAAAGGTATTGCAATTCAGCAACTCCCCATACAGATTTATGCATAAATCTATGAAAAACACTTATTGTGTAATGACTTATGATATTGCATAGGCGACTCAATGCTCAGTAAATGGAAAGTGGAGTTGAGTTGGAACTCATGACTGATCCGTTGAAAATCTCATACCTAAGCCGTTGATTTACAATTGTTATATGCCATTCCTAACTTATTTTTTAATAATTTGTAAATATATATAGCCACTTTATTCTGATTGATAGTTTTTATTGACTTAGATTTGGGAATACTGATTGTGATCAGATATGCAGAATGGGCATCTCATAAGTGCCTATAGATGTTCCTTGTGTTTACAATTGTTTTTCTTTCCTGATAATAATTACTAGTTACCTTTTTTTAAATTTACTAACTTCGATTTACATACTTAAGTTATTGTTCTTTTCAGTTATCACACTTTTCACAGACTCATATTTAATTCGTTCAAGCTTTGTGCGATAACATCTTGATTAACAGTGACTTGTTGTTCCACAAGGGTTTTGTAGTTCAGTAGTTTGTGTATATATTTAAAAGATGCTGTTATTCATTTTATCATAAACGATCAGTTAGTTTCATCAGCATTCACACAAAAGACGTGATATTATATACACTACTAGCCTTATGATTGGTAAACTATTACTGTGATACTCTAACATCAGCTGTGATTTAAGCTCGTGTCTGATTTACAGTAAATTTTCTCTAATAGTTTATAGAGCGGTATCTTTTGTAAATTTTAGGCATGTATCCCTCCATGATGTGACTGTACTGGAGCTGTAGTCTTGTGAATGTATATTGTAATTTAATTTCGTTAGATATCCATTTAGTTGTTCAATTAAGTTATTCTTGACTGTTACAATAATTCATTATTCCATTTATTTATATACTTTAATGAAACATTTCGAATATAGAAATTCATATTTAAAGTTAAGAAAAAGTGAAATTTCGTTCACCGTATGACTTCGAAATGCTAGGTGGTTGGTGACTGGAACAAACTAGCTTCAGGAAAAGAAAATCATGTGCGGATCAAATTGCAACGTTACTCTACGCATCATCATAGAATAGAGGATAAAATGGCAGTCAACTCTTTACCTCAACTTCATTGACTTTGAAAAGGCTTTCTATCTAGGCGTTGATCAAGGAGTAATTTGGTTGGCAGCTGCTTCAACACTACGGTTTTAGTGCCACAAACCTTTATCAACCTCATTCAACAGCTTTATGATGATTATGATGCTACATGCGAAGTGATTCACAATGGGAAGCTCAGTGATGCCTTTGAAGTCAAGACAGGAGTAAGATAGGATTGCCTACTATCATTAATGGTCAACTGAACCGGACTGGATCATGCAACAAACTGTGATGAGGAACGAGAAGGTAGGTTTACGCTGTTTGACCGATGGAAAGACCCTGGAAAATTATGGATTTCACCAACGATGATGATTTATGTCTAATGTCGCACAAACTCGAAGATCTACAGGCGAAAACTAACAAGTTGACAGAAGAGGCAGGGCAACGAAGATGGGACTTCCTTCAGGTGAACGTAGAGGAGACAGAGGTGATGAAGATACCCAACCAACAACAACCACAAGCACCATCAGCAGGAGAAATCGAAAAGAAGTTGTCTCTTTCATCTACCTAGACAGCATCGTCTTAACTAGAGGCGGTGGCACAGATGAGCATGTCAAAGCTGGGATTGGAAAAGCAAGACAGACCTTTATTAATCTGAAATCAATGTGTAGATCTAATGAACTCAGCATAAGGAAAAAGATCCAGATTTTCAACAGTAACGTCAAGTCTGTGCTTCCATGTGATGGTTGAGAGACTTGGCGTGTTACGAAAAGCATTTCCAACAAACTCCAGACATACATGAACAGCTGCCACCTACGCTCACTCGACACTGAAGATCGGATGGCCAGAATAGCAAGAATAAGTAACAGGAAACTCATTCTGGCAACGAACCAACCAGAAATCCATCGCCCAACAAATATGCAGCATTAAGTGGAGATTGATTGGATGGGACGCTCACTGAGAAAACCATCTGGGGACATCACGCGCCAGGCCAGGCCCTCGGGTGAATCCCAAAAGGGAGACGACGGGTTGGGCGTTCGAGGCGAGGTTAAAATAGAGGAGACGGTGTAAGGAAGAAATGAGAGCTTCTGGGCAGTGGTGGAGCTAGGTTGAAAAGACTGTAGAGAAGAGAGTGAAGTGGTGACATGCTACTGAAGCTCTGTATTCCACTAGGAACCCAAGGGAATAATAATAATGTTGACTGTCATCAGGCTTGACATAATGTACTTCTGTAAACAGGACACACCCAAGTACTTGCTATGATCAATCATCTCAATATATTTCTCTTTTATTCAGTTGTTTCGATGATGCTGATATATAGGAGGATATTCGTTTTTCTTACTTAACAAGGGACGACGATATTTTACGAACTTTGAAAAGGTGTTGTCATAAGTCAATGTGGTTTATCAGTCGCCTTTTCTTCTATCACCCTGCTTAAGAGTAGTATGAAATTTGTTTTAAGCGTAAGATATGAGTTCAATTTTAAAAATATAGAGATCTTATATACAGGAAATACTAAGACTTTCATAGAATCCCTAGAAGCTTGGCATTCGAGTCAATTGTCAACCAATAAATATATAGACATAGACCCAATTTATCATCTAATAAGAGGCCAAACAGACAAACGGTCAGTAGAAAAACCTATGCAGTCAGTGACAAAACAGTCAAAAGAGACTAACAATCGCAAACCACTTTGTTAATGCAAGCTACTGAATCATTCATGAAGAAATTGAGGTTACTCATCTTGAAGTTAGTGATGACAATGTTGTCTACAAGGACAATGAAACCTTTACCATTAAGCACCCAGCTAAGAGTACTGAGACAACCAAGAACAAGAGTAAAAGATTCTTTGATTACAAATAAGTTAGTTACTTTGAATTCCACAACTAGCTATTCAGATATCTAGGATATTTTCAACCAAATGCAATCTTTCAGGATATCCACTCACAGAATCCATAGAACGAATCTACCTCCTGCATTTTAAAACTTAACCTCTAGTATTAGAAATCATTTGCAAAAAAAAAATACTGGAAAGATAGTAGTTACATTTCAAAGTGTATGTTGGTTGGAATAAGGAGTTACAAGATGTCCAAATCCAAAGATTTGTCAAGAAAAATTGAAATCTGAATCATCAGATACCTTTTGACGTAAAAAAAAACAAGTTCATTTGTAACTAAGATATCGTTGATAAGATGTCGAAAGATATCACTGAGAAATCTTATACAGTCATTCCATCATCTACACATATTGTTTCGCTCATTAATGAGCAAATGTACAAAGATGAGTATGATTATATATTAGGCAGAATGGAAAAGACTTACAATTAGAAAATACATAGAATTGGTTTTGGATGTTTATTACTCATTCTTGATAAAGCGAGTAGTAAGTCAAAATAAAACATACTTTATGTCATGATCTATTTGTGTGCTATATTGTTGACTAACTGTTTTCATAGGCGTTCTACATACTGTTGTTTACTGTCCATATTCTCTCATAGAAGTGAAGTCTGTGATGAAGAAAACAATTTAGAGAAAGCTAACAAAAAAAATTCAGTTTTAGTTGTATTTATCCCATTCAATTCTTTGATTTGAGAATGTCATGTATTCCATGTATTCTTCTTTCAACATATTTTAGGAAGAAGTCGCCTCTTTACGACATCTATCGTATTTGGATGCACATGTTATTTTGCTATGCTTTTCTGTTGTTCGACCAGATTCTTTTAGATCTTTAAAAACTGTTTGGTTAAAAGAACTAGCATCTGCGCCTATCATTCTTAACAGTGCTGCTGAACAAACTGCTTCAAAACTATTCGGTATATCCACTTCATCATCATTATATTCAAAAACAAATCTTGCTCACTGTCCACCAACAATGCTCATCAAGTCGAAATCTCCTATATGCCCTAATCGTAGATTAAAAAGTGTTGTTCCTGAAACTAATTTAATACCAGGTCCTACATTTCTTCTTATTGGTTGTGCATGTGATCTACGTAATGATATTGGTCGTTTATTAGAACTTTCTAAAATAGGCGAAGAACCAGTGGATAAAGAAAAGGCTGAATGCTTAGCTGTTGAATTAGGTGCTGAAGCTTATGTTGAATGTTCTGCATTGACTCAAAAAAATCTTAAAACTGTTTTTGATCTAGCTATTTGGTGTGGTCTGAAAGTAGCTGACTCTGGCGGTCCTATACTATTACCTGAACTGAAGTCAAACGAATCACTACCATACAATGGAGATTGTATAGAAGCTTCTATGCACAATAATATTATTACTAATAATCATGCAGTTGTCACCAGTCAACCTCATCATACTGTGACAGAGAATAACAACAAATGTAAAACGTTTAGTAAAAAAGGTTGGCGTCGATTATTATGTATTAATTCTTAATTTTTATGTAACTTCTTGAGACTTGTTTTTAACTTCCCACAATTTCATTGGGCTATTCTTTTGTTAATATCACTCAATAGAAATGGAAAACCCATTTATGAGACTGTAATTGCCTAACATCATAATTCTTGTTCTAGTCACTTGTATATTTTGTAATAGTAATAAATGTATTTATGTAAGTAAGCATGATTATTAGTGTATGATTATGCATTCAAACATGCTTTTAAAAGGACTTAATTCTTTCTTTTTTGTGTATTTTTGAGGAAGTGATTTACTTTTCTCTAGTCCTTTTAATGTTCTCCTCTCAAGTTTTGATTGGCCGGTGACTATGCAGTTATTTTAACTTAATGTCTACTACACCTCATACTACCGGAAAAATCGTTTACATTTTATATTATTCCATAGGAAGTGGCTGTTGTAACTCAGTGGCCTAGAGTGGATAACACTCTGGTGTTTGAGGCGATGAGTCCCAAGTTTGCGTCTTACTGGGAACAACATTACTCACTGGGAGGCACGTACATCCAGCTGACAAGTCCTAAGTAGGACGAAATGCGCCCCATAGATCCCACTACTAGCCACCATTTATCATTAATATTACTTTTCTTTTTTTTTTTTTACTACAATAATATTTCTGTATGTATATGATCACCCTAGTTCTTGTTTCGTTTATCTATATTTTGTAAAAAAATTTCCTGCTTTATGACATAAAATGCATGTAATAAATTGGATTACATTTTAATACTCATTGGATTATATTTGATATTGTTTCCTTCTATTTTTATTCATATTGTAAATCTAGTGCCACACGTGTAGACTACTCTAATATATATGACTTTTTACCTTATTATGAATATATCCAAGATATCTCAAACATGCAAGTATTACTTTTACTCTGCAACCTTTAGTTGGTTATAAGGGGATCAGGTAAAGCGAATTTCATAAATCTAGGTTATAGGATTCGGTGACATTTGAATATGCCTGTTGACACTCCATTGATGCATATCCTTATTAATAACAGAACTTGCTCTCTAACTCTTTGTAACTCAGACCTATTATCAGTGAACTAATTGAATCCCTATGAATTTTCTTTGAAACTGTGAATTAAAACTGCTACCCGTTGATAATCAGGGTAATGCTTATTATTATAAGATTCGGTTTATATATATATATATATATATATATATATATATATATAAATTTCCTGCAGATTAAAAGTAGTCAATTTGTGTATAATGATTTGTAACAACCGGTCATTGTATAGATTTGTAGTCAGAGTAGGCATTTGAAGTATATTTGCTTTCATCATATTGCTGTTTTTCCCGTAGTACACGTTCATGTTGTTTTTGTGCTCGTTCAAGTGTTTCATATGCTAAGCGTGAACTTAATTCCATTGATTTCTCAGATAATGAACTACAACTAGTTATTGACTCTGTTTCATCTAATGATCTTTGATTTTTTTTATATGAATTCTGATCCCATTGATTTTGATTTCTAATTCGATGATTATTTGGATAGTTTTCCCATTCTTCAATATGTGGATTATTTATTCTATTGTTGTCTTCGAGATTTGTTATTTCATGTAGATCATTATCAGTTTTATAATGTGATGCATCACTTTGGAAACGTTGTTTAGTATTTGGTAACATTCCTGCATAGGTGTCTCCAATATGTTTTATATTACTCGTATATTCTGAATGTGGGCAAGTAAATGATTGCTTGCAGTTATACTCTGGATCTTGATCTATATCTGTATCAGAACAGTCATCCTGATCCATTATTTTTGCAATATTTTGACTGTCGAACATTGCTTTCATTCTTTGGCTAACTGGTGGTTCATTGTACGGATCTAAAACTAAATCTGTGGATGGTTTCCCAGCTCGAGGCATTTGTAAAACTTCTTTATATTTCTCTATATTTTCTGCATAACTTTCAGTACTTGATGGGTCCCAGTAACCAACGGAGTTAGAGTCTAGTTGAGCTAAATGTTCACGTGAGAAATGTGATTCTCTGTCACGCTTTCGGTATTCATCAGCTTTCTCGCGTAACTTTAGTATTTCTTGATACCAATCATATTGGAACTTTTTATCTGTTAATTTTGGTTGGTTTTGTGAAATGCTTAATACATTTGAATAATTACGATATTTTGCATTGTATTCACTGATGTAGTTATTTTTATGGCTAGTTTTTTTGTTATATAATTGTGAAGGTGGCGTCAAAGCTCGAACTCGATTGTTATTTATATTTCTATCATTATTTTTTATTTCTCTAATCCCATAAGCTGATACTGGGCGTTTTAATGGGATAATATTCACATTTTTCTCTTTTGTTATATCAGTTGACTTCAATTGATCAATTGAAACATACTTGAAAGGTTTATATTCATGCCTGTACTCTGTATCGTAAGGAATTGCACGATATTGAAATTTATCTAGTTTACATGATGATGGTCTAATCGATTTAATTGGATCAAGTTTATAGTTTGTTTGTGGTGGTTTATATGCGCTCTGATATTCTGAAAGGCGCTTCTTTTCAAAATTATGCTGTATAACTTTTAGAACTTCTGTCTTTTGGTCTTGAGAATATTTTTGTAGTGGGGATTTGTTACTTTTATGTTGGCGTGGTGCAACAGGAGTACTGATAGTGTTAGTTGAATAATTAATTTCTACTGGGTTTGAATAATTTGTATTTGATTGTTGATTAAGTTCACTTTCAACTTTTACATGTTTTGTGTTTCCTTTGATTTCTTCTCTTTCGCGTAAAATTCTCTTTCTATTGTCAATTTCAGCTCGAATGCGTCGTATTTCTGCTTCTAAAGCTTTATGTGGACTATCTGTTTGAATAGCTTCATCCCGTCGAGATTTATGCAGAGATGAAAATTTTTGTGGTTGTTTACATGCTTGTATAGATGGTCGACTCAATTTTTGATCAGAAATTTCTTTTTTTCTTACTGGTGGGGAAACACTTCGAGTATTTCGTTCATTTTATTTCTATAGGCGATTGAATTGTTAAATTTTCCATCGGAAGGACCTATGAGAAAGTAGTCATCATCATCTTTTGAATTGGAAAATTGTTTGTTTAGATTGAATCCACTGGGTATTTCAAATTTTCGTTTTTCTGAAATAATGGCTCTTCTATTGTTGTTTTCCCCATTAATAAACTAAATGTAGAATGTTCTCAGTATCCAATATTTTTGTACTCATTAGATAACCTAAGTATGAATAAAAGTACATAAAAATATGTAAGTAGTTGGTTATATGTGAACGTAAATTAGATTAAGTCACTCATAATTTCCTATCACTAATCTAGCTCTTAACCGCGCCTAGTTAGTTAATTCACTAGTTACTAGCCGGTCCTAAGCCCGGGTGAAGAGGGAAGGTTGGGCGTAGGGTTAGCAACCTTACCCGGTAAAACCAATCCAACCGCTAAAGAAACTTCAAAGTACAAACAAAATATAAAAAATAAAAACAAAATTATTCCTCTCTGGAATCGGAGAGGCGAAATGACGCCAGTTGGTGAAAGCCTTCGGGAAGTCAATTGGCCGATGTGTCTTCTCTTCTCTCGATGAAAGCGAAAGTAAACGCGGGGACATGGAATGTCCAAACAATGTTTGAACCTACCAAGGGTGCCCAGATTGCAAAGGAGATGAGAAGGTATCACATTGAAGTGTTAGGAATTTGCGATAGCAGATGGAATGGAAGTGGACCCTCCAAACTGTCAACTGGAGAATCAATAATCAGAGACTTGGCGCGTTACGAAAGGGATTTCCAACAAACTACAGACATTCATCAACAACTGCCACCTACGCTCACTCCGTACTGAAGCTGAGATGGCCAGAAAGTATAAGCAACAAGGGACTCTGGTGGGGAACTAACCAACGAAGAACCTATCACCCAACAAATATCCAGAAGAAGAGAGTGGAGATGGATTGGATTGGACATACACTAAGAAGACCATTCAAGGACATCACTTGCCGGATCAGGCACTCGAGTGGAACCCAGATGGGAAACGACGAGTTAGGGGTGTGAGCTGAGGGTGACATGGAGGAGATTGTGTGAGGAAGAAATGAGAGCTTCTGGGCAGTGGTGGAGCCAGGTTCAAAAGTTTGCAGAGAAGAGAGTGGAATGGAGACGTGCTAGTGAAGCCCTATGTTCCATCCACTAGGAACCCGAGGGATAAATAATAATGATAATTTTGTTTACTTGACAGGGCGATGTGTGCTTAAGGGAGTTTTGAATAAAATATTTCACAGCAAGATATATTTTTGAAGACAACTATCCTAGAAACTCTAGATAATTTAATAATAGTAATAATGGATACTAGCTAGCAGTGGAATCAAGGATGCACTTTTCGTTTTATTTAGGACACACTAGTCAGCTGGATGTACCTACACTCCAGTGAGTGATATTCTGTCCACTAAGACTCGAGTATTTGACTGGTCGCTTCAAACACGAGAGCGTTATCCATTAGACCATTGGAGGACAAAAGCCACCACTTGTGCAACATCTGTAGTTGTAACGTTATTGTTTGTAATTTCCCGTTGTTGATTTTCATTTCACGGCATAAAGTTAAAATATATTTCTCAAAAAGAGTTATAACTTCACAATAGGCTATAGTAATGTAACAAGCAAGTATCACGGGGTGTTACTTTTTTTCCTTCGAAGGAGTTGGTTTGTTTTGTGCGTGTGTTTCTATGGTACTGAATGTTTTTATTCTTTCTCTTGCACACGTCTACGTATGCAGCATAATGACTTTCTATTTGGCGCCTATATACATATTTAAGGCAATAATTGAGTGTTTGTTTTTCTTTCATAAATTCAGATTGTGGTACAATGTTTTATCTACTTCTTAGGTATATCTACGTTTTGATATTATTTTAAGTAGTTAGTTATATAGTAAATAAAAAATAAGTTGAAAATGTAATGATAAAAAAAATAATAATAATTTACTAAGTAATAATTATTGATTTCAATTGGTGTCTATATTCTATCATCAGTTTAAAATAAAGCTGCCAGTAATCGGTTTTAAGTATTCAGTTTCCAACCAGTTTTTTTAACGGGTTTGAAATATATTTCACCTGGTTACAAGCTTCCTAATGGTATTGACTATCAAATTATCCATGGTTACTGCCAAATTGAAACTATAGGTAATATCGAGGCATCCATACAAAAGATCACTTGGCAATAGAGATTCGTCAATGTATTTTAATCAACGACAGTAAATTACCAGGAATAACATAAAACTGTACGCGTCGCAAAAGGAGTGGATACCGTGACTCAGTGGCTAGAGGATAAACGCTCGGCACTCAAAGTGATTCGTCCTGGGTTCGAGTCTTAGTGGGAACGACGTCGCTCACCTGATGAGTCTGAAATAGAACGAAACACGTCCTGGATTTCACTACCAGCCATCAAAAAGACTACAATAACCTAAAATAGTTTACAATTTGAAATGTTGTTTTTCTTTCAAGTATTTTAATGGTATGCATCGTTGTATTGAAACTCACTATTGGATATCATAAACTGGTAAATGAATGTTGATTGAAAGTGAAATGAAAATCTGAATCTCCCTAAGATTTGAACCAACAGCCTTCGGGTTACCAGCCCAATGCTCAACCAGTTAAGCTATGAACTCACCTGCTAAGCAAATCTTAATTTCACTTTATTCACCAAGAGTTTTACTTGATTGCCATATGAATTCATGATGCATTAATATCCGTTCATTGTATTCATACTGGCTGCTACCCAATTAGTACACAAATCTGCCAAACCCTAGCTATCTTAAATAGTTAAACTGATAATAAAACAGATAAGTTATGACTTTCTACTCACTGATTTACATTCGTAAGAAATTATGCAATGATTAGAATAAATTAAAATAGCTTTAGATAAAATCCAGTCGAATATCACTTTCTAATAATAATAGTAATAATAATAATAATCCTAGTAATTACGGATAGTGGTCAGCAGTGGAATCTAGGCTGCACATTTCGTCCTCTTTGGGACCCGTTAGCTGGGTGTACTTGTCTTCCAGTGAGTGATGTATAATACAAGCAATCATAATAATCCTTTAAATATCTAGTATCTTTTAGCTTGGATAGTTGAATGGATTCTAAACCTTGTGGTGAGCATTTTTTCGATCATAGAACAACTTACTCTGAA